AAATTCATTAGCTTTATTGTAAACAATTGAATAGTCAAATGTTTTAGGGATGATTTTAAGAAGTTCTTTAAAAATAGGGATAATAATTCCTGCAAACTCATCTTTGAACTGGCACAAAAATTCTGGAGAAACAATTTGAACTGCCTTCTTTAGCTCTTGTCTTCTTTCTGCAGAAATGTCTGTTGAATAATTGATTGCTTCTAGAAATTCCAATAGAATTTTGTACCCTTGTTTAGCATCCAACTTAGTTAAAATAAAGTTATAAAACGTAGGCATTACAGTTGGCCAGCAGTATAGTCCTAGTAATGCATATATCTGACACATTTTGTCCGTCTGATTTTGACGAGCGTACTCAGTTGCGAATTGAATTTCTTCATGTAAATTAAGTGTTTTAATTTTACTCTGAATTCTTAACTCCAAAATCTTACAGATATAGAAATGCACAACTGAATCATTGCTTTTGCACATTTCCACCAAGGGATTACAATTAGGGAAGGCCACAAGCCTATTTATCTCTGTTTCTAGAGAGTTTATCATTCTTGGGTTATTCGGTAGTTCACTTATAATCCTCAGTATTTCCATGGGCTAGAAAAAATTATGCAAAAAATATAATAACCTAGGAAATGAAAAAACAAGTGATAAAACAACGAATGTGTTGGATGAGTTTTTAGTAGATTCTCCAACTATATTAAAATGAAATCTAAGTATTAATTATTAAATAAATATATCCTATTTAAGCTTTGCCTAAGGAGGAGCTATTATATAAACTTGAGTATTCACTGAATAGAGTTAGAGAATTTACTGTCTTTTAACAGTTATTGATATCTATCATCAGCATCAAAATTACTAATTTGTACAGATCATTGTGTCAATTTTAAAAATTGTTATTAAATTAGGGTCATCAAATGTGTACCATACCATACAGGATTTTCAATTATTGTTTAGTAAAATAATCTTCATAAAAATCTCCTATGATTTAATCATAAACTTCAAAGGAATTTATAAAATATGATTGGTCAAATCAAATCATGTTTCAAATATTAAATTTAAGGAGTTCATTGCTTTACCCCACTAAGAATTTCATGAATTTTCACGAGAATAATTTATTCACAGTAGATAAACCTAGAACATTTAAAGAACACTCTAAATTGATAATTCAAAGTGAAAATTCTATACACAGATGCAATAGCCTCTCGATTTATATTACCAAGCCTGACAATCTTCCAAATGACATTATCATGGAAATTACAAAATTTTTACCAATATACCCTTCAATCGGACAAAAATTTCAAGATTGTTTTGTAAGTAAGTTATCAGTTCACTCAAAAATTCATAACATCAAGCAACTATTGGAAAAATTCATATTGCTACGACCGAGTCCTGAAAATAAAAGTGTGCTGGCAATTGTATTTCCCAAGCCTCTTAATTTTAAGGAAATCCATGAATCATTAAAGTCAATAGAATTTAAAACAAGCCAACCCCACAATAGGATTTCCCCAATAATTGCTTCAAACGTACAAAATCTTGAATTTTTCTTTAAGAAACGTTTATTTATGCACAATTATGGTTTGGACGATCAAAAACATGGGCATAATATCTAATAAGTTACAATAAATTTTTTGGCTGTAGGTGTTTTTAAGATTTACAGATTAAGAAATAATTTTGTTTATTGAAACCTTCAAAATAAAATGGTCATAGATTCATTATTACCATATACGCTATCTGAATAGCAGTTTAAATAGAATTAGCAGAAGAATTGTCACGATTGCTCCTGCAAGAATGATATATTTAAGATATTCATAAAACCACTTCCATTTGGTTTTTATTGATGTAGATTTTAATTCTGAAGTTTGCGATTCAATTTCTAAGGAACTTTTAAACACATCATTTGTCAAATCACCCAGATCTTGAGTTTGTTTAAGCCGATCCTTCAGAGTTTCTTGAAGCTGCATCAGTTGTACATCGACATCAGCAGTCAAATCGTCGGCTTCTTCCATTCATAATCTACAGATATGAAATAATATTGTTTTAAGGGGATGTATTAAAACATTATTGGTAAAAATCGATATGAAAGAAACAATCAGTTGATATTTTTGCTCAACAAATAATTTTTTACAATTCCTGACTCATCACAATAAGCTTAGGTAAAATCCACAAAAACAATTTACTTACACAAAATTTTTCAATCTTCAAACAAGCTGTTAATAGCTCCATAGTTTAGTTTTGAAGTTACTTTTTTGTCTAAACTCTGAAATGCTTCCTCAATAGTCTCAAAATTGTGCCTTTTCTTTCTGAATCTGATGGCTGTAGTTTTAGGCTTCTTTGCTCTTTTGGCTTCCATTTCTTTCAAATACTCACCATACATGCTTTCCCATATGGCTGATTTGTTCTGAACCTCTGCTTCATCCAGTACAAAATCCTCCAAGGAAAATTCATTTGAATCTGATATATCGATTGTCTTGTCTGATTTGGATGTGCTCTGGCTCTGAGGGGTTGAAAAAATACCATTCATTTCAACAGAATCTGAAAAATAAGTTTCCCTGTAGCCATTTACGTCTCTCATTTTTTGCTTCAAAATGGGTGGTAATGATTCTGTCTCGATCCATATCTTATTAAAATCGTCAATCTCCAGGTTACCAGATTCGGTTTCGGCAATTTCTTTAATCCTTCTATTAATCGTAAATACTGAAGCATGGACAACTTTGGCAATTTCATGAATGTCCCTTGGTTCTCCACATATTCTTGAAGCTAATAGAAGAGCTGCACCACAGGAGTTATTTGGACGCCTACCTACCAAAATCCAATCCTTTTTCATCCTACTGATCAATCTCATTGCTAGATTTAAGACTTCTCCATTTTTGAATTTGAGTTGTGATACAAACCGATGCATATAGAGCGAAGGATCTATCAAAGGTATTTCTAAGCCAAGAAGCCCTCTCAGTTTTAGGAATACTTTTCCTATCTGGAACATATCAATTCTAAGTTCATTTGAAAAATCAATTAACAGATGAGGCGTGGATTCCTGTCGACAGGAGATGTAAACACATGCACTAAGTGTGTATAGAATTGACTTTCCCTTTGTCATAGAGTGAGCCAGGCATATCTTGTACCATCTGAATGCACACTCAATGTGCTCTTGCCCCAGAGACAACTTCATGCAGATGTTTTTAATAGTGTTTTTTATATAGTAGCTTGAATCGATGAATTGGGTACCGACATTGGAGTTGTCTACACTAATAATCTGTCCGTACATAGATGGCTTACTTCCCTCTGAATTGAACTGTATGGTATTGACAATCAGATTTTCCTCCTGTAGCATGCCACATTGCCCACAGCATATTGTTCCACGAGTATTATCTGTTTCAAACTCATTGGATCCACAATTCGAGCAAATCATTGGGGGTGAAAAATTATTGAATTTTATTTAACTAATCAAATAAAAAGCATTTTAAGAACGGACCGCAACCTTCATATTTGTTGTAAATCCAGAAAGAAACATTGATAAATTATAGCTCTATATAGGAAAATCTGCATGCTTATGATCTGTGTCTATAAACATTTCGAATCACTGATAAATATTTTCGTTTCAAAGACATTTTAAATATTTTAATATTCTTCCCACAAATGAGCTTCAAGGATGAATTAAATAAGTTCTTTGAAAACTCCAGAAAGAAATTGAAAAGCTCGGACATTACAATATGCATGGGCAATGAGGCATGTGACATAGATTCATTCATCAGTTCTTTAGTCATATCGATGCATGAAAAGTGCATTCATGTTGTAAACATGAGAAAGGAAATTCTGGAATCCAAGGGAGACCTAATGTTTATTTTAAAGTATTTTGAGATTTCTTTGGATGACTTAATCTATCTTGAGCGCCCAGTAGGGGATTTTTCTACGGAAGCAAGAAAATTAGGCACCATTTTCAAATCAGGTGATTTGGAATATAAGCTAAACGATAAAAATATCAAGCTAATGATCGTAGATCATAATGAACCAATCATCGAATTGAAAGATGCAGCCATAGATCTCATTATAGATCACCATCCACTTTCTGGATCAGCGTTGAAAGCCAGAAGAGTTTATGTGGATATTGATATAGGATCATGTTCTACACTTGTCTCCAAATTCATAGGGCATTCTTTAACGTCTACAAAAAACAACAAAAACTCTGATTTTGTGTCTAATTTTTTTTGTGAACACATTGCTAAATTATTAATTGTCCCAATTTTTCTAGATACCAAGAAACTATCAACTATTGCTAGCCATTTTGATAAAGGAGAATTCAAAAAATTGAAAAGTAAAAGTGGGATGAAGATGAAGGAAATTAAATCCATTCGCAAAGGTATTCGAAAAGCACGTTTAAACGACTCCAACCTTCCAGGTGAAGTTATTATGCAGAAGGACTACAAGGAGTATCATTATCGTGGGTTAACTTTTGGATGTGCCACTGTAAAATACGATTATGAGAAGTGGGTAGATAGAGAAATGGAAGAATACGGCAAAAAAGGAGCCAAGAATGGGGGTGTATTTTTCGAGGCCTTTCTGAATCAATTCCGTCGAGATCATGGATTGGACTTCTTATTCGTGAACAGAAAGGCTAAAGGTTTGAGATACATTATTGTTGTAAATTGTATGCTAGAGAAGCTGATTTCTGATGAGCATGGATTTAAGCCTATCAATTATAAGGGCTTGAAATATTATTCTATCAAGGTATCTCTTTCTAGAAAGGTTTTAATGCCACTTATACAGGATACTCTTGATAAGGTGAATTTGAGTATTCCAGAAGCCCAAAAGACCGGAAATATTGACTTACAACAGATAAAAGATGTTATTGAAAAGAAAAATTCCTAATAAATATATATTCTCATTATGCTGAAAAACAGTTGTATTCTTTAGGAATTAATAAAACAAGAATGTAACTTGTATGAATGCCCAACTCATTTTGAATATAATCTAGATAACTAACCCAACAAAAATTTAATTTTCAAACATTTTATTTAATCTTCTTCAGATTCTTCAGATGTATCTATGGCATTGTTCTCATTTTTAGACCGTCTTACCAATCCAGCCTCCTCATCAGGCAAAATATACATAAGAAAGTCGTACATAGATGTCGTCTTTGCAGCCTTGGCAATATCTGTAGCCTGCAAAATCTTTCTCTTTGATTCTTCGGTATGCATCCACGCCCTCAGAGTAAACTCCTCAATAAATTTCTCGGCGGCTAAGCTAAATAAAATTGGAACTTCTGATGCAACCATCTTGACATTTTCTTCGACTTTCATTAATCTTTTTATTCTTGCAAGGGGCAATGTGATATCCTTTATACTTAAACGTGTAGTCTCTGCTTTTCTCATTTCAAATTCCCAAAATTTTGAAATTTTCTTGGTAAAGCTATCAAAGCTTTCATCTACCATAACCAGAAAAGATTTTTTGTATATCTAGAATTTTTGAAACAAATTTGAAACAACAACAAATTACTTTTATGATTGTATCAATTCAATTCTACAAACTTTAATAATTCAGTCTGCTAAGTTTATTAAATAATTTACTCAAATTAAATACACATGGTATTTTTGGGAGGTTAAGATAGTATAAGGTTGTAAATTGTCAAGTATTGACAAAACATATCTACTTTCATGGTGAAAGTATTTTTTGAATTTCAATCGTTTCCCCTAGATGTCCACGGAAATATTCAAAAAAATCCAAAGATGCTTTCATATGTCCAATTCACAGCAGATTTACGGTAGAGAATCAGAGCGGAGTGTCATTGTGAAGTTTCTTTTATCAAAGGCTACGAGCCTGCATATTACTGGCAAACCAGGAACTGGAAAAACCACAACAGTAAAATATGTTTTACAAAATAGAAGATTACAGAGTGATGGCTATAAAGATGAAGTTACATCAGAAAGCATTGATAGAAGCTATGCCTACAGTTTAACTCTGCATAAAAAGAATATTGATGGAGTTCGGTATCAAGATACAAGATGCTGTAAAAACCAACAAAGTATTAATTCTAGTATATCTACAACAATAATAGATTCAGATTTTGTTTATATCAATTATTATAATTCTCCAAATATCAACAAAGCAATAAAATCATCTACAAAAAGTATTATTGTTATTGATGAGTTTGATAAATATTTTGAAGAGAAAAAAGCAGAGTGTATTAAGAATATTGTACTGATCAGGAAACGAAATCAAAAAATGATCACAATAAGCAACAACCTTAAACTATCTTCACTCCATGTTGATTTATTGAAATTCTTGCCATATAGTTCGGATGATATATTAAATATCCTGGAAAGTAAAATATTGAATGAAATTGGTGTGGAAATTGCTTCAAAGAATGTTTTGATGTATATTTCAAAGAAATTTAATCAAACAGGTGATCTTAGACATGTGTTCAAATTTATTCTTGAGATTTACAATAGAAAGGCCAGTGAAGAAAACTATTTGATCTGCTTAAACGAGTGCATTGATTCAAAAGTGGGCAATTTTTCAGAAACTGAACTAAGTATTCATCATAGGCTGATTATTGAGTGCATGGATGGGGTAAATAATATAGATGCATATAGGAAATATCTTCAAAGTTGTAAGTTGTTAAGGATAAAGGGTGTTGATTCAAATGATTTTGGAATAATTTGTGATTTGTTCAAAGAATAGCTATTCAATATGGCAATTGAAAATTCAAATAAATGTTGTTTAAAAGATGGATATATTAATAAAGTATACAAAATCTTTTATGTAGATATAATTTTAGTTTTACTGTTACCAGCTGATGTAATGGTCATTTGTTCAAAGATTAAAACAAAAAATGATTAATTAAAACTCATCAACCAAATACCAAAATAAGCTGGATATTCCTGTTAAGTTAATTTTTTATTGAACTTGTTATATATCTCATCATTAGTACTTATAGTCTTTTTAATATCATTATTCGATCTTTAATTAAATAGATATTAAGATAGAATATTACAATTTCCTAAGACCATAGCAGAAACAGTGTACAAGATATATCATAAGGCTATAAACAAAAAGAAAAAAATGGAACATTAACTATTAACTTCTTATTAATAGCTATATATATTATGAGTATTACAAAAAATCCAATTAACCTTAAAGAGTACACCTATATGCTATTGAGCTTTATATGTCACAAAATCCCTATTTTAACTAAAAAATCCTATTGGAATAGATTGAATAGTTCGTAAAGTAGCACGTGAAATTCATTGCTATTCATGATTAGAAGTTTTATTAACTAAATTATTATTTGTCTTCACTTTAATTTTTTCTAAAATTTTTAAAACCCAAATGAATGATTCAAACTCCTTGGAAGAAGAATCACATTTATCATTAAATATATCCAGTTTTTCGGAAGAATCTAGCCTAGATTCGGATGTAGAGGCTGAATCGATTCACTCTGATGATTATTTGGACGAATCCAATGAGGGAATTGAAATGAACCCAATAAATAATATATTTCTAGGAAATAACAATGATGTTATAGATGATGGCTCAATTCATACAGAGCTTGTGAATAAGTTAATTAATTTTATCAATCAGAAATATACAAAAGCGATTAGAAATATGTGCTCTGAGAATTTAGAGAGTATAGGAATTGATTACTTGGAGCTGAAGGATTTTTATGAAGAAATAGATGAAAATCCGGAAGCTTTCCTCGAGACACTTCAGGAAGCTCTAACAAAATCTACCTTGAAATACTTTCCAAATTACAATCTGATTAAGCCTATGATTCATCCTAGAATTGTTAATTTGCCAGTTATCGAAGAATTAAGAGGACTTAGAAATTGTCATCTTAATAGGCTAATTAGAATTCATGGTGTAGTAACTAGAAGGTCTGGCATATTTTCCTTGTACAATATTGTTAAATACACCTGTTTGAAATGTAAATGTACATTTGGACCATTCATAGGAAAGGATTTTGCCAAAGCATATCCTTCTAATTGCTTTGAGTGTCAATCCAGGGGACCTTTTGTAGTCAATTCAACGGAGACAATTTATAAGGATTTTCAGAAGATTACAATTCAAGAAATTCCTGGTACGGTTCCTCCAGGGGCGCTTCCTCGTTCGAAGGAGGTGCTTCTCTATTTTGATCTTATTGATAGCTGCAAGCCAGGTGACGAAGTAGATGTTGTGGGTGTTTATAAGAATAACTTTTCACTTAGTTTAAATATTAAAAATGGATTTCCAGTATTCAATACTGTGATCGAATGCTCTTCCTTAACAAGGAAAGAATTAACTCAATGTGAAATTACAGAGGATGATATTAGAGAGATAAAGGATTTGGCAAAAAAATCCAATATTAAGGAGATTCTAATAAACAGTGTGGCTCCTTCTATATATGGCCATAGGGATATCAAAACTTGTATATTGTTAAGTATGCTGTCGGGTGTTCCAAAGGAGAAGTCTGGAATGAAAATTAGAGGAGACATCAACGTTCTGTTAATGGGAGATCCTGGAACAGCAAAGAGCCAGTTCCTACGGTTTGTTCAGCAAACCTCTCATAGAGCTGTTCTCGCTACTGGACAAGGATCATCCAGTGTGGGATTAACAGCATCTGTTAGGAGAGATCCTGTTCTAAAAGAATGGACTTTGGAAGGAGGAGCTTTGGTTCTAGCAGACAGTGGAATATGCTGTATTGATGAGTTTGATAAAATGAATGAGAATGATAGAACTAGTATCCACGAGGCCATGGAACAACAGTCTATTTCTATTTCTAAAGCAGGAATTGTTGCATCTCTACATGCTAGATGTGCAGTTATTGCAGCAGCAAATCCTGTTCGTGGCAAATACAATCCAGCATTAAGCTTTTCACAAAATATCAATCTAAGTGATCCAATCATTTCTAGATTTGATCTTTTATGCGTCGTTAAAGATATTATTGATGAAGTCGAAGATACTAGAATGGCCAAATTTATACTGAATTCACATCAAAAGGATGTATCCAACAACGATAATCATAATCCGGTATCGATTGATCAATCTCTTTTAAAGAAATATCTTCTTTTTGCTAAGAATAATTTTCATCCAAAAATTCCAGAGTTCGAAACAGGTAAAATCTCTCGTTTATATTCTGATTTAAGGAAGGAATCCATGCATTCAGGAATTCCTATTACAGTTAGGCACATTGAATCGATTGTAAGAATTTCAGAAGCGTTTGCAAAGATGAGATTGAGCAATGTTGTTTCTAAGTCAGATGTTGATCAATCTATTGCAATCACACTACAGTCATTTTTATCAGCTCAGAAATACTCGATCACGAAGCAGCTTAAGAAGAAGTTTAGCAAGTATTTTGAGGAAAATAATGATGATCTGCTGGTATATATTCTTAAGAAGATGTTTAATGAGGTTGCTGATTTGCATTTAAATTGTGTTTCCAAGATTGATTTCATCAATAGATGTAAATTTTCTGAAATAAATTTATCGGATGGTTTTTTCTGTAGCGAGAGATTTGACTATGAAGGATTTATATTGGAGGGTGGAGATATTTTGAGAAAAAGAATAAATTATTAATTGGTAGAATTGTTTATCTACCTTATTCAGATGGGAAATATTATCAAAACTCAAATATTCTTTACATCCACTCTTGTAAGCATAGATATATCAATATACCAATGATTTAATATTAATTAACAGATAATAACTAATAACGATGCATCTATTCTTATTGTTAAGTTAATGGTTTAGACATATAAAGAATAGGACTTTTTACTTATCCTTGATGGTTATTAGTGAATAAAGCTTTATCAGGAAAGAGCATTGGATAGAATGCTTATATTAATGCTACACTAGTATAATTGTGTACTTTGTTCTGTTTTATTGTTTTATATTTTTTGTTGAGATTATTCACACCCTTAGTCTAGCATGACACTTTCAGATTTACAAAAGAAAAAGAAAACAAGATTTCCAATATCCAGAATAAAAAAGATTATTCAACAAAATGAAGATATTGGCAAGGCAACTATAACAGTTCCTGTTTCGCTAAGTAAAGCAACAGAGTTATTTCTTAAGGAAATATTGGATAAAATAGTATCAAATGCTATTGAAGAAAATAAGAAGAAAAAGAAAAAAACAGTTGATGGTGATACTGATAAGGTTGATTCAAAGAAGAGTGATGGATCTGTTTTTGACAATTCTATTTCCAATGGCAAGAAAAAAGATAATTGTAGCAATATACCGTCAAAAAACAATACCCAATCAGAGGTTCCAAATCCTCAGTCAAAGAATAAAATTATTGTGAAGAGCATGGAAGAAATATTTGAGATGGAGAAATATAAGTTTTTAAAGGAGCTGATCAAAGAAGATAGTGACATCTGATGTCCACAAAGTAGCAAATAAATGTATCATACAAGATATGAGAACTATCTCTTTTAGTAATTATTATTTTTTATATAGAAAATGTGTATATTATTTTATTTGATGTTACTGTCACTTTATTGGAAAATAGGTATAATATGAAAGATTAATTTCATAATATAATTTGTGGTTACTACTGTAGTTTGAACCATTTACTCAGTGAGATGATTGTACAATGGAGAAGCATTTTTTAATCTATCAATACCATATCATAAGATATGCTTTCTTAGATAGAGAGATTCAATTAATTTATAATCACACTTTTAATCAGAATATGGTTATTCTATGCCTTTACTTGATATAAGGATGGGTTTCCATTTATTTTAACATTATTGTTATTCAATTGACAATAGTACTAATTATTTTGTATTAATATTTAGGATTGTTCATTAGCATATTACATTAGCTATGCTCTATATTATTATATTTATTACTGCAGTTGAATAATTGGAACATTCCCTCTCTATAGAAAATAAATAGTTTAATCAAAAAATCGGTTCTTGCCAATAATTTATTGTTTCAAAGAATTTCTTATTATGTTCCCAATAAGCATAGTGTTATAAAATAAGAATAGGCCAATCATTTAAACTCACTCATTATCTTTTCAGCTATTCGTACTATAGATCCGTATTTTTCATCATCTATCACTTCATATTCTTTTGTCCATTGTTGCTTCACAACAAACCCTCTTCTAACTCCCTTACCGACTTGTTCATAATATTTGGATATTTCCATTTTTACAGAATTTGTTTTTATTCGTATTACATCATATGACTCATTTTTCCTAAAGCTTTTCAGTATTTTTAAAAATGAATCATTTGTCCGAGTCTTTATGGAAAAAGTATGCAACACAGAGTTTGTATTATTGCATATTTGAGAATTACTCAGATTAGAGTCTTTTACTAGAACATTTGATTGTTCTGTTTCCTTCATTTGGATATCATCCGAAATATGGAGGGAGTTTTCTACCAAATCTGCCAAAGAATTTGTTATTATCTCATTTTCAATCGGCGAATCATTCTTGTCATCATTGATTTGATTGGTTTTCATTATACCATCTTCCCTTGTAGCTATTCTCAAAGAAATTTCTACATCTTTAAAATTAGTAGACTTACAAAAATCCTCATACGAAATAGATAGATCAATCTTGAACTCATCTTTGTCATTGGAAAGATCATTACTCACCTTAATGTCCATTATATTTTCAGCAACTTGATCATAGAAATGCTCTTTTCCAAGCTCTACAGTTGAAGTTAGATTGAAAATGTTTTCAAAATTCTTCTGATCAAACTCTGATTTTTTAGGATTTTTTGGTTTCACACAGGACTTTAAGCTATCGAAATATCCATTTATAATTGTTGATTCCATTTGATCCCGAAAGATTAGATACGTTCCAGTTTGCTGAAAAACACAGCAATCTATGGAATATGACTTGTAGAAGATAAAATCACTGGGCAATGCAGAGGATATTGGTTTATTAAGTACCTTAACGAAGGGTTTTGTATAAAGAACATTCAAGCCATTCTGAGAATCATTAGCATCGATCAATTCACTGTTAGGCACATACTCTACTCTTATCTTTTCTGAATCAATTCGTTCTATGTAAAATACTCCATTTGAAAATGAGGATGAGGCAAATTGTAGATGGTCTAATTCAAGAACTTTGCTCCCAAAAATCAACTCAAACATATTTGATACTGTACAGATAGGTTTTTCCATTGAAAAAATCGAGGTTGAGTTAAAAAAATTGGACATATTTTCAGGGGTATGGAAAATTTTAAAAGTGAAGTTAAAGGGGTAGTCATAAATGCTTATAGGTATAAGCTTAAGGAGATATCCTGTATTGCTGATCATCTTGTAACTAATCTCATTTATTCACCACCAGGGATTTTAAACATTGGAAATTATGAATTCAAAAGTACTTAAATGAAGTTCTTAGATACTGCGCATATATATCTAAGTGAGTTTAGAAACATAATAGAGTTTTTCAAATTTCAGCTCAAAGATTTATTCATTCTTAATTGACCTACCAAAATGTTTTTGTATTCATTATGGGATCTACGTAGAGTATAGATATAATGAAAATGCATAGGTTTCATATCCATTATTATAGGATAGCTAATCCTTTTCAATATTATCCCTTCTCCTTAATTTTTGTTAATTTTCTTCAAAATAGGGGGTACAGCATATGCAACCAAAACTAGAACAAGAAGAAATGAAGGTTTCTCAGGGAGATTGTGGAAGTGAGAGACTAACAAAAGGTGGATATGCCGATAATATTTGCAAGGATATTTTAGCTAATGAAGAGATGGATGAAGGAATTCGACAAGGAAATAGTTCAATGGTCCCTGGAGACGTCTTAGAAGAACCAAATACTAAACTTTCTGAAGATTCTGTAAAGGCAGTAGGTTCATGTCCTGAAGTAGCAGCAAAAGACTCAGCTGTTAAAAGTTGTGATTCAACTGATCTTGTTACAGATCCAAATCCTCCACCAGGTGTCACAATTATTCATTTTGGTGAGCATCACGAACCAATTGAGAATCTTGATAAATATCTATTAAAACAGGAGCAACTATTGAAAAATTTAAATCAAAAGCAGAAGGAGGTAGGTGTGGAAATCTGCAGTGAATCAAAGTATTCCACTACTCCTTTGAATACAATGAATAAGAGGCTAAGTGTGAATTACCTGCCTGATGTACAAGTTATTGAAAATGTAACACCAAGCTTGTTAGCTGGATACAAGAGGAAAATGATATTGGTTGGTGTAATTTCCATAGGCATTGTTGGAACAATATGGCTATGGAGAAATAAAGTAATAAATTGATGAATACTTTCTTTTACTAAACTACAAATGTTTGATATTCAACTTGTTATAAATGTTACTGTCTAAAGCAAAATTTTTCATAGATTTTTTAATCCCAAAAATGTACTTTGGCAATTTACTACCATCCAGAATTTTCAACAGATTTGTAAATATATGCAGATACTTCATACCATTATTGACACTGCTTTCTTTCCTAGTTCCTCTAACAGATTTCAACCTTCCAGAACATCATAGGAATTCAAAATGTAAGCTAATTTTTGGTAGATATTCTCAACTAACAGAATTAGGGCTAATTTCCACCGGAATGACAATCATTCTCTTTGTTTATTTTTGTCTAACTGAAGCCATAAGTTTCGAAAATTCAACTAGCTCTGGTAAAGTAGATTTATCCCTGAAGGAAATCAGTACACATAAACCATCTTTAGGTATAATTCTCTTTAGATCACTATTCTATTTGTCATTGGTTGTGGAACTTATGGTTACGCTTTACTATTGGACGATGCTAGTATTTGTTAAGAATGCCTTTACAAACTCCTCTGATAACTTAAGTGGTATTCCATTTTACCATGATTTCATAAAACACATTTTGCCATTATTGACCTTATCTTTGATGAATTATTGGATTAACAGTAATAATTCCAACTTCGGCAAACAAATTTCACATCGAAAGATGTGCAATATAAACAGTGGTGTGAGGTTTATAGAAACCAACAAGATAACCAATACAGTTTCATTACTATTTATCAATCTATTTGGTATATTCTATACAATTTTAACATTTATGAATCTTGAAAATGGAGAATATACATATGAATTTCTAAAATCCATGTCTAATACCAAAATATCTATGTTCTACACACTTGGAATACTTCTCTGCAATGTTATTTATATCCTGATAAGATTTATAGAATATAAGATGTATTTGAGTAATTAATACAAATTTTTTTCTATATTATGAAAAGATCATATTCTATTTATCTTGAACACATTAACTAAATTTCATTATATATACCTCTCTTATTGAACACATTTTATTTCTTACAAATCATTTACACTTTCATATTTTTTAATAAATTGATGAACATATTAATATTTGTGTTCGGTTTATTCTTTTTGGGAATATCTTCAATTTGTAGTATTGTGAAAAAACTCTGGTCTGTATTTGAATAATCTATATCGTTTGAATTGAATACATCTTTGATTTCATTCAAGAAGATGCTTTTTGGCTCTACAAAAATACAGCTTTCGCCATTTTTCTTTCTTTGTGAATACCTAATAATTTGTTTTGACTTTTGATAATTTACTTTTTCAATTGCCTTTGCTTCCTTTAACAAAGATGCTCTTTTTTCCTTAAAACCTTTTCTAGCTAAGGATTTAGATTCATCTTTGGGTTTCAAGAAATTCATAAATGGTGCTATTTCTAGTTTTTTGAGACCTGGAAATAATGCATACACATTCTTGGGATTTTTTTGGTTTACTTTAATTCTGATATTTGTATTTGATTTCATAGGGTATCCTCTAAAACTTCCTTTTATAGATGAAAATGATCAACAAAAAAATGATTAAATTCCACCAGCAATCAATTCGTCATGAAAGAATTTCAAATAGGTTATTTCTAGTCAAAAAATGTAAACCATATGAAAGCATTATCAAAAAAAGCTTCATAAGAAAGATTTTTAATGAATTGAAAAGTATATCGAATGAAGCTTCTTCCAAAACTTGTGATTTAGACATCTACAAGTGTCAAATATGCCTTCAAGGATTCACAGAGGAAAAAGAGTATATAAATCATTTTTATGGGAAATCCCATTTGGTCAAATTGAATGAACTAGGTGTATCTGAAGAGTTTGAGAAGTATTGTGGAGTATTTACGCGCCAAGGAGTGATGAAGATGAGAGCAAAGCTATATAAGGTAGATAGTCGAAAAGAACTACACGTTAATAGTATTAAACACGAATCAAATCAACTTCGATAAAAATATAATGACTAATTTGAAAGCTCTTTACATGAGGAGAGTGCATGGAATTCACCAAATCTCCTTAGTAATTATGGCAGTAGGATTATATATTTTTGAACAAAGATCATCAGATTTAATTAAAAGCATTAATCAAATGAAAAATAACGCTATGGCTGATGA